GTAACTGATGAGCCTCTCGTGCTGTTGAATCACTACTTTGTGTTTTGAGCTGTATTATTCATCTGTTCTCTGATCTTGCAGTCAGTCACTGTTCTGTTAGTGAGAAATGGCCTTCCTTTACGTGTGACTGCTGAAATGTGTCTTTCTATTTCACGCTACTCCTCTTGCTCTCTTTCCTCCCTGTTCCTGTCTTTCTATTCTCTCTTCGTCTTCCCCTCCCTTCCCTTTTTTCCTCCCCACCCTCTCTTGCTTTCTCTCTCTCGGTTTTTGGATCGGCACCAGCGCCAGCTTGCCGGCTGATTACGAAGGCTTTAATGTTCCATTTAACAGCAGCATGTTTTGGGTTGTGTGTGCGTGCGTGTGCACATGGAGGTTGACAGAATAGGCCTCGCCACACACTCGTTGACACACATAGACATGGCGACATTAGCCTTTATTAAGCCAGCTGTGCCTGTCCACCTGGCTCTTCCCTGAGTGGACAGAAACGTCTGGCATTCAGCCTGTCCTTTGATGGCCGACCACAAACAGCCATAACGGCAAATGGGAGCCAAATCAGGAGAGGGATAAGACTTAATGGAAATGTTAACAGCCTAATATCCGTAGCTGTAAAGGCGAGGAAACAGTGGCTTCAGGTCCTGACTGGGTCATTTAAGTGGTAATCGTGTGCCATCTAGTGAAGCTTTTGTTTTTCGTCCGCGACAGCTGCCGTCTATTCCTCTGACGTCTGACGGTGCTTTCACATGTGACAGAGGCAGACAACATGATGCAAAGACACTCAGATGGAGGAGTCTCATCGCCATGCCCCACTTTCTCTCTCTCTTTCTTCTCGCCCTTTTTTACATAACGAAGTGTTTCATAACTTGCCAGATTGTCGAGGAGCCGCAGTGTCTTTCTCTCCTCCTCCCTCCCATCATCAGCTTCTCTCCCGCATCACTTCCCTGACACCTTTCCTCCTCCTCCTCTTCAGTTTCCCCCCTCTCCCTCTCTCCCTCCCCTCAGCTCTTCCTTTCCCACATCTTCCCGTCCACGTGTCTCCTCCTGTTCCTCCCGGGGGGTCTGGGCAGATGAGCAGAGGCAGGGTAGTACGGGGGCAGTGCCTGTGGGGAGGAAGCCACGTCGCATTTGTGTGCAGAAAACGTCAGGCGGCTTCCCGTTCACCCCCCTCCTACCCTGTCCCGAGGGGGCTTCCTTTGTCAAATTAGTTTGACTTTCTCCAGAACACAGGGACCTGGATTGCTGTCAAACTCCCTCTGTCACACTCATTTTAGTCTCCCTCTCCATCTTTCCTGTTTTCCTTCTTCTGTCTCTCCTCATCTCTTTGCTCTGTGACATCCCCCCCCCACCACCACCACCTCTCTTCTGTCAGTTAACTTCCCACTGCAGTCTGATCGGTTTGCTACTGCAGCAGAATTTACATGGGTGGGACCTGCAGACGGGCAGTTCTGCAACCCGAACTGACTCTCACTGCCTAACCCTGTCTTATTTATCTTCTTCCCCTTACTGTTTCTTTACCCTCTCTCTTTTTTATCTCCCATCCACTGCACCCTCTCCCCTCCCATTAGGATTCATGGCCTCGATCCCCCAACCCCCGTCGTGGCTGCAGACAGTCTGTGCGTGTTGGGGCGGTTGCTCTTAGGAGAGGCTAGGGCAGCGTCCTCTCCTTTTCATTTGCCTCTGTGTGACGAGACTGTCTGCACGAGCAAGGACACGGTGTAGAGCAGTCTTGCGCCGCCTGAAACAAAAGTACACGTGCCTAGGATTTGCTTGCTGCTGCAGCAGATTTTTCCCCAACTGCTTTGAAAGTTCTGGCTTCTTTTTTGAGTTTGAAGCTGCAATTGCAATTGCAAAGATTATATTAACAATGGATGAAATGGTGTTATGCTCTTAGTGAGGAAGCCACAGACAATAATCACCCGACTCTACAGTTTCCCAGAGCTTTACACTGTGAGCATTTTACTGTTTTCATTCGCTCTCATCGCTCTCGGCAGCAGACAGAAAGTTAGCGGCTAGATGATGAACACAGTGGAGCAGTTAAAGAGCCAGATATTTCTCTCAGGAGTTGGTGGAGACCAAAAACAGAGATAAAAGGAGAGGGAATGTTGGTCTTACAGTCATCAGGTGGTCAGAAACACGACTCCAACTGAATGCACAACTGTTTGCTCAGTAGGTGATATGATAAGGAGTCCCTATCACTTGTTTGTTAAACCTGTTTTCAAAGATTGTGTTACTCAAAACTTAATTATTAAAAATGTATGCAAAGATGTTTTATTCATAGTTTCTATACTTACCTACAAGATATTCCTTCAAATAGTAAAACACAATTGAATATGTCTTCCTGACTGTTCTATTTCCTTGATGAAGGCTGTTACTGCAACACCAGCTCTCTTTTATTTACAGAAGTCCTCAGAGAGCAGCCTCGTCAGCTTAGATTACCCATCGGCTCTAGGAGTTTTTAACCAGAGAGGTCAAGTGGAAGGTTATATCTAATGAATCGCTCGGCTTCTCGCAGCTACCCACAGGGTTCATGGTAGATGAACAGTAGATGACGAGCCCAGCGGAGGCTCAGTGGTCATCTACAAGCTCTTGCATTAACCTTTGACCTTGTGAACATGTAGCGTAGTTATGCAGTGATGACATGGATCACTTGGACTGCAGATACGCAGAGGAGCTTTAAGTTTTAGCCAATACCGAGAACGGAGCTGATCCATAGTATTTAGTAAATTATACAGTAGAGTCGTAGGCCCGTAGGCTTTGGCATCATTGCACAAGAACAGATTACAGTCAAATACCATCCATTTAGCAAAAGAACGTTGAAATAAAAGTTTAGGAGTCTGTAGCTAGCTGTCTATCTAGTGAGCTGTGGCACAGCAGTGCTTTGAGCTAAAAGCTAACGTCCATGTGCTAACATACTCAAAATGACAGTGCTAAAATTCTGACGTTTAGCAGGTATTAAGTTTTCCTAGTTTAGCTTAATAAGAGATGTGAAATTATGTGAAATAACGCAGTGGTACTGATTCCTGAGATCTCAGCTGATCAGGAAAAAGCTTGAGAACCAGTTCTGAACCACAGAACACAAAAATATTTCCTTGGAGAAAAAATCTCACAAGCAGAGAGGGGTTGAATGAGAATAAGCCAATAAACATGATGACGAAGTAAAGCCTGTGGGCATTATGTAATTGTTAGGCAAGCAAAGACTCAAATGCCCGAATGGAACTTATTAGGTCTGCCGTGATGCAGGTAATGGAAGCTAGTGGAAAGGTGTTCTTTAATATTCTCTTAGACTCAGAAAACCAAAGTAGTCTCAGAGGGGCAGTCTCTGCTGAAGCGGGGCCTGCACTGAGTCAAGGAAGGAACAGAATGCCCTGGAAGTGCAGGTCTCAGAAGGGGCGTTGTCACACCCTGATTGGCCAAGAGGGTAATGCACCAAGCTGCTCTCAATCATTATTTAGGAGCCAGGGCCCACACGCTGTACAACAGGTGATCTGAATAACCCTCCAATCAGCTCAGCTCATATAAATTAGTACCAAAGAATGAGATCTGATTCTGCATACAGACACAGTAGGAGAGTACAAAAAGTAAAGTGCAAAGTGAAGTTGAGTGAGGGAGGAGGTCCAATTACTGGAGGACTCAAGTCACACATGTCTGTATGCAACCGGTGTGTGTAAGCCAACGATGAATGAATGGCTGCTCCAACCCTGACCTTCCTGTATTCCCGTATGGGGACGTAAAGGGACAGACAGATTCCCTTCAGGCATCAATTAAAATATTACAATGTTATTGTTGTCGTGTATTATGTGCATCTCTTAGGAAAAGGAGGCTGTTTGCAATGACGGGTTTCCAACTGTGACTATAAACTATAAACCAAATGTGCAAGACATACACACCGATACACAGACCAATTATAACATTTGCAAAGGTGAGGATAGGAAATCAGAGTTCACTTATTACTGCAGGCAATGGATGTCAGTATGTTCCCAAATAACACCATCTGTTTTAATTCATCTGCTCTTTTACTGCAGACTGATCTGGCAGAATCTGATAGTGGCACCACTCATTGTGGTTTTATATGTAAAACATGGTCTACACCACTTTACACCAGAGCTCTGAGGCTCTAATCCCCACTGAATAGCTTTAATTCAATTTCTCCCTGAATATTAATATTTCTTATTATTTTTTAGAGTAGCAGAGTGAGAGACAGGAGCAAGGCATAGGATCACTACATCAAAGCAATCATAGTTTTGTCGCTAACTAATATGTCTGCATATATTTCAGGATGTTGTGCATCCCTTCAAACAAACAGAATGAGTGTAAACAAAACTGTTTCGATAATATAGCTTGTCCAAAAAAAGTGGTCTCGTGGCTCAATCTAGCAAGGAGCCGGGAGATCCCACTCCCCCCTTCCCACCTCCCCCCCCCCCCCCCCCCCCCTCCCCCCCCCATAAATAACACTCACTTCTTCACACTTCTATTTTATTTATTTGTATTGGGTATAATAACTTTTTTTTCATTACCAACAGCGTTTGAAAACATTTAACATGAGATGCCTAAAGTCGCTTAGAAAGAAAAATTAACAGCTGTGTCTTAATATACACAGAATATGTTTTTGGATACACCCCCCCCACATGTTGTAGCTCATAGATACCACAATTGATGTATAAAACAAATTTTAAATTATCTATTTTGGTCTAAACACAATTCTCATGAAACTTATGATAGACTAAATTCACTTTCAAGAGTGAAAAATGATTTTTTGGGAAATAAATATCTAACCACTTTACCCATGTGGTTCTTACCTTCACAGACTCCATGAAATGATGCCTTCCTCCTAAATATTTGGTCACATGATCAATGTTTTTTACCATTTCCTAGCAACAAGGGGACTTACCCTTTGGCTCAACTTACCCCACTCTCCCCTACTTTTTGGAGGTGTTATTTAAACAAGCCGACTATAGATTTATATTCTTGTATTATTCATCTGTTCTTTTCTTTTGTTATTCCAGTTCTTCCCTTACGGCGACGCGTCCAAGTTCGCCCAGCATGCCTTCAGGACCTTCGACAAGAACAGCGACGGCACCATCGACTTCAGAGAGTTCATCTGCGCGTTGTCCATCACATCACGAGGCAGCTTCGAGCAGAAACTCAACTGGGCCTTCAACATGTACGACCTGGACGGAGACGGCAAGATCACACGGGTGGAGATGCTGGAGATCATCGAGGTATCACAAGGAATAATCTTTCTAAGGGAGCTACGGTCGGATATGAAGTGGTACACTGCCACATGGCTTCCGTGCTTTTTAACCTGCTGAGTCACAAGGATGCAGCACTTTAGATTTTTTTTAATACTTAGTCAAAGGTTATACAGCTGAGCCCGCAAGGCCTGACAACACATAAATTATTCATAAACAGGAATTATGTGAAACAAGCAACAAGAGGCCAAAGTGCACGTTTAGAGCAGACTCATCAGGAATTTGGGGCACTTTGTCTCATAGAGTCAGATAATATTGGTGTCATTCAGCAGTGTCTATCAGCATCAGTTCTTTTCACTCACGTGAAGCTGAAATCACAATTTCCAATTCTCTAAAATATTTAAGCTGTGAATTGATTCTAGAAACTAAGACATTTTAATCAGAGCCTGGTTTATTAAACAATGATTGTACAAACAGAATATCCATACATTCAAAAAAACTGGTTGTCAGTGAAAATGTGCATTCAACATCTGAGCAGAGAAGTCCACTAACAAACTGTGGCTCCACTGATCTATAGAGTGTAAATATAGAATGTTTGCACGCATGTTTTGATGTTTGCAGAGACCAATCTTTCCTTTTGTTCTGTCATGTGGGAGGACATGAATAAAAAAGAAAAAACTAATAGCACAGACTTTGTTTTAGACAGCACATCCCATTATCTGTGCAGTAGTTGAAGCCTGAAGTTCAGAGGAAACAACACTTCATTTCGACACACAAACAGGCTTCCTTGATTCCTCTTTCCTCGTGTCTGTTCCTTACCTCACTCAGGAAAAGACACGAGTGAAGGAAACGTGGCTGCATTAAGAGATTTACCTTCTAAAACCCTGCTCTCTTTCTCTCCCTGCAGGCGATCTACAAGATGGTGGGCACTGTGATCATGATGAAAATGAACGAGGACGGCCTGACGCCCGAGCAGAGGGTGGACAAGATCTTCTCCAAGATGGATAAGAACAACGACGACCAGATCTCACTGGAGGAGTTCAAAGAGGCGGCCAAGAGCGACCCGTCCATCGTATTACTGCTGCAGTGTGACCTCCAGAAATAGGCCGGAGGGCGAGCAGAGGAGCGCTCCACCAGCCGCCACGGACTGCACAGAAAGAATTTCATGTTCCATTCAGTTTGCAGCTATTTCCACTGAAAAAAAAAAAAAATGCTTGGACTACCTTTCAATGGATCTGCTTCTTGTGTTTGAAACACTCGTGTGCATGAGAATGTTATTTGCTATAAAAAGATCTACACACAACATACAACAGTGTGCGTGTGCACGCTCACACCACAAACACTCACAGTATACACACACACACACACACACACACACACACACACTCACTACATATGAACACTTCGCACAAATAATATATATAGATAGATATATAAATATGGATATATATTTAAATTATTCAAAGATCAACTGCCAAAATGTGAAGTGTGCAAAGTATTTTCCATACAGTTTCATTTTACTGGAGCTTGCGCATCATTGATGTGCTACGTTGAATTTGCCGCTACTCTATTTATCGTTCCGAGTTTACTGACGCTAGCTGTATGTGTTTCATAATACTGAGTAATGTCAACTGAACCAAATTCCTATGATAATGTATCTGCCTCCAATAAGACACTCGATCCATCCTCTCCAATATGATATTAGCTCTAGAAGAGATGGATTAGCGTTTGTCCAACTTTTCCTTCCAAAACATGCTTGTACTGTCGGTAAAGAAAAATGTAAACGTAGTTAATTTGCATGCCTTTAGGTTCTGCCTTAAAAAATCTCCTCATTTTGCACCCTGTAATCGCAGACGGAAAGCCTTATCAGAGCAGCGCGGCATCACATGGGAGAAACCGTGAGAAAAGATTTTTACCGTATAGGGAGCAAAAAAATAAACCATAATGCAGTAGGTCCTTCTACAAGTCTTGTCGTACGGGATGTAATTTTCGTGATCTGTCCGAGACCTGTTTTCTTTTGACTGCTTTAACTGTGGGAGCATGTTTCCTTAGACTAGAGGTAGTATATGTTGCTGAAGAACTAAAAACCCGCCCCTGTGCATTCAAACACTTTCTCTAATTAGCAGAAGCTGATCGTGAAGGAATCCCCCATTTTGAAGCTAGAAAGAGATCGGATTGATGGAAGCAAGTGAGATCAAACACTCACATTAGGATTCCCTGGAGAATGAATGCAGCTTCCCTTGGCTGGAGTAGTAGTATAGTAATAGTAGATTAGAAAGAAGTATTAATTTATAGTTGGAGAGCATTGTTATCAAACTTAGTTATAACATATGTGTCACCATTACAGCCATCTCTTTTTCCAATTAGCCTGCAGGTTGCATATCAATACGATCAATTTAGACTCTTAGAGAAGTCAGAAATAAGGCCCGCGCAGCATTTCTTGTTTGTCTTTTTCAGTGGAAGTAAATGAATGCGAAGCAGTGAGAGGAGCAGTGAGTGGCGTTTCATTATACACTGTAACTAGTAGAGGACAGCCCTTATTGTAAAGCCATGTGTTTAGTAGGTTGGACAACTCGCCCTCCCTAACCCTGGAAGTATTTCTCTCTTACCAATCAGTCAATCTTTTTGTACTTTTTTACTCCCCCTCTCTCACATATTGTACACGTACTGATGCATACTAAATGTAGAGAAGTTCAGTGTGGTACCTCCCAGAAAATGATTTGGAAATAAGATGACTTGTAACTTTATAGAAGTTGACCCTGTCCGAGAGCTCCGCAGACCCTTTCCAACCTGCATTAACGCTGCCAGTGTTCAAAGAGCTTCAGGTTAAAGGAGATGTGATTATGTCATAGGAACAGTACAGTATTGCAATAAAGATCCAGCATACCTGTCCATCTTCATCTCTCAGCAGTGTGGCTTGCCCCCGCCTCCGTCAGTTTGTAATCTGAACTTCTTTACATGGACATCTTCGGCCAGACAATGTTTCTAATTCCAACTCTGTTATTACTATTATTGCTATCAAGATACCAAATGTAAGCAAAGGCAAACGTGTACAAGGATTCTTTTGTAGCATGTATTGTGTCCCTGACAACATGGCTGCACTACTCCCTGTGTTGTGATTTACTCTAATAAAAGGAACTCTATGGGCTCTTGTCTGGTCTGCTAACTCAACAAACCATCTCTTCAAGCAACGTCGTTATAAAGCCTCACCTAGACCAGTTCTTAATTATTTCAGGTTATTATTTAATGTATCTAAAATCAGTAAATTGGGTCATGTTTCAGCTTGACTTTTGATACTTACGGTTTTCTGCTGATAATAATTTGACTTAAGTGACACTAAATGCAGGATTGTGTCATTACATTTACACATGGAAATGATCTGACCCCCATCTATGAAGACTTGGTAGTTAGTTGCCTCATGGTCCAAACAGCTCGCTGCACTGACATGAACTGTACAAACTGTCCTGTATTATTTGATTATAGCCACCTGATGACCTATTGTCACTAAAGACACCAGGGGGACAGCCGGGGAACCGCTGCACTCAACCAGCCGTTCACACAGAGCTGATAAATAGCCAGTTTAGTGTGGTCTTGGGTTATACCTTTTTACAGACTACAGATGAGTGTATATAAAGAGACTGTAACTTTGGAAAAGAGGCAATTCTGTTAACTTCTATGATTTTTCAATGCAAGAGATGAATCTAATAAGCATCCTCCACTATTAAAAGGGTTGCACTCATGCACTTCGGACTGGAAGACACATTTCAGTAGTAATGTCCCTGTACAACCACCAGATGTCACTTAGGACACCAAACAGTTTTTTTTAAATAATAGACATAAACAGAGAACATTTTCTATAAAAACACAATTTGATGTTTGTTTTTCAGGTGGATTTACATCGGCAGGAACAAGTGGAAATACAACAAAAAAAACCTCTCTGGGAAATGGCTGAGAAAGCCTGCTATATTTACCCATGACTCTTTGGCACAATAGCACTGATTACAGAGGGTTCACTTGGAGGCTTGTGTACTCTCTATCACACACACACACACACACACACACACACACACACAGAGTCAACTCCAAACTAAAAACCCCAGAGACCGCATCAAGCTGTTTGAAGATTCAGGCAAACAAAGAATGGGGCGACCCCTTAACCCCTGTGCAAATGTGGAAAATGTATACTGGCTATTGATCCACATGGGTTCACACAGAGGATGGCACTGCTGCTACATTACATCTACAGTATGTAAAAGGGACGAGACAGGAGCTTTTAGAAAAAGGAACATTTATTTTACAGAAACCATATACTTTATAGTCGGTCAACTCAATTTAATTTCACATACTGCGTGACTGTGGCTGGCTTTAAATTAGGAGATTGTAAAAGTATAAAGTAGAGTGATGACTAAAAGACAATCTGCTCTGGCGTCTCAACATCTTTCCCAGGGTGATACTACAACCAGTTACTAGCTACACCCTGGGGTCCCGCCTGTCAATCACTTGACACCAGCCCAAATTCTGAAGTCCTCTTCTGACTATCAAACTTAAAGGTTAAAATTCTGCCCTTGTGTGTTAACTACCGTGTAAGCAGTGTTCACACATACCTGATGATGGAAATAAAACAAAAAGAAAATTCCAACTCATCATTAAACAAAATGATTAAAAAAAGAACATTTTCAACAGCTGTATCGGTAACTCAACAGCTGTAGCAGTAAATCAATACCAGCATCAACCAAGGAAAGTGTGATTTTAGTACAGATTGTGGAAGTGAAGGGGTGGGGTGGTGGTTGGGGTCTCCAGAACACTACTTTGGAGGGTCTGTGTTGATGCCGTATTTCTCTTTTAGGAGCTTCAACTGTTCCTCTTTCTTCTTTGTGTCCATCTTTTGGAAAGCCTGCAAAAAAAAGAGTGAAAACTAAATTAAATTTGAGTAATTGCATGAAGATATAGGTTCAAAAACATTTTTCCAATTCCCAAACCTAGATTTGTGTCTGACATTTACTAAAGCCCATTCAGTGATTGCCCTTTGACCTACAGACACTGTAATGCTCATACATACTCTGTTCGCATTGTAGTAGAGGACCACCAGGTAGCGGTTGCACACATTGAAGCCTGACAGATGGTCACAGGCGTTCTTGGCATCAAAGATGTCTTCATAAACCACATAGGCCGTTCCTCTTGATTCAGGTGTGTTCCCTCTGAGAAGCGGAGAGAAAAACAGACAGGAAGTGACTACAAGACCAACATCTACAGAGTCTCACAGGTATTTAGGAGAAATAAAAATCGTACATGAAACCGACATTTTAATGGAACAGAAGCAGAACCTCTTTCACATAGGATATTTAATGCAAATGAACATAAAGGCCATTCTGATATTTCATTCTACATATCTGTGCAGCATCAATAGTGGCAGATACAATCTAAGATATTCTGACCATCCTGTGGCCTAATAAAAGTGTGAGTCACATCTATCTGCCCTTCTGAAGAGACCAGTACGGTGACTGAGAGAGCTCAATGCCCTGCAACTTTAGAACAACACACATGCAAATAATGAAGAAAACTGCTTCATCAATGTGACAACACCAGCAGCATTCAGAAAAAACGCTGCAAATACACAAAACAACAACAGAAGTTTTCCCAGACGATGCCTTGGACATGCTTGTTATTGCCACAGTTTGTGACTCATGGAGTTACTGAAGTCGGCTCTGTGTATCAGCAAGTCATTGTTTTCCTATTATTTTGTTTTGTAGTGCTTTGCGTGTGCACAGTCTGACCTGCAGAATGCACCAACTTCGCAGGAGCACGCACTGTCAAAGAAACACTGTTTTTTGTTAAATTGAGAATTAAGCTAGATTTGAAAAGTTGGAAAATCCCAGGTCCATCAGAGATAACAGGTTGCCTGTAGCCTCTCCTTTGAACGTTGGAGTGACCAGGTGCTCATAAATAACTACAGTCTGCCAGGTTTCCTACATAAACCCACTAGTATGTTTTAAGCAAAGGACTTCAGACAGTTATCCTGCGATGGACTATGAATAGTAAGAGAAGAGACAATAAGGCTCACTGATTTACAAACTACAGCAGCATCTTGTGGCCACAGTGGACAGAGCAGTTTCATTAGTGATGTAATACCTTTGAGACAATTACTGCATGACGTGGTGGGAGACTATAGTGACCAACCATGGATGTCTTTCTTTAAAGTGAATCAGTTCTATTTGTAACCCAGAATGCCTCACCAAACCAAAACCTCATCATCAGTGGAGGTGAAGGGTGGTCAGGGGCAACATGCAAGTAAAAAAATCCCCTCTCCCTTAACAAATGTGATTCTGTGTGGTGTGTAACGTTTCAAACACTGAAGTTATCTCTTTATCATTGCAATGTCTGTAGCCTATAGCTTGGGCTACTCCTGGTTGAATAATGCCTATATGATTATCATGCAGGTATGATCTCACAAACTATTACAATGCCTGATAGAATTCTACCGTTTTACTCGGCCAGGAGGAAGCAGCATTTACTGGAAAGACTTACTTCTTGTCTTTTTTGGGTGTTTGCAGCATGGTTCTAGTTTTGTCTGCACTGAAAAGCATCATTAATCGATGTATCTGATATGAGTTTGTCACAATAACAACAGTATGTGTTATAACAACAGTGTAACCTGACCATACTCATATGGCCCTGCACCTGATACCTATGTCATAATCAAACGTCTACAATGAAAATGATGAACTCAAAATGGTGGTTAAGTACTTCCTTTGGCCCATCTAACCCAAATAAAACCCTGCAGAAATCTACAGTGTATAAACACTTACGTTCTGATCTGCCGTATTGGTCCATATTTCCCAAAGATGTCGTACATCTCCTCAGCTGTGATCTTGTAGGGGAGGTTCCTGACGTACAGGATTCTGTTCACCTCAGGAGGTAATCGTATCTAAAGGAAAACACAAAAGCGTTTTAATAATCAATAAAAGAACCACAAACACTAGTTCATGCCACAAAACCTGCAGTGACGGATACAATGGTATTAAACTGTTTGACTAAATGATTTGATAAAAAAAAATCAACTAACTAGGTTATGTTATCTTATTGACCAATAAATCTGTGTGTTTGGTTTCCCAGAAGCCATATGACACACACACATACACATATATACACACACACACATATACACACACACACACACACACACCCCTAACTAGACTAATGTTTCTGTGTTCAAGTCTCTTCTGCTGCAACGTTAGAACAACAACCAGGATTAGCTGATGTTAGCTGTTAGCACATTATCAACCGCTGTTAGTGTCTACATGAAACAAACCCCGACCACAGACGGCTCCAAGTAGTCAGTAAATATTGCCAAATGTGTTTAATCGTCTGTCGTAAGTAACAAAACTCAAGTTTTAACTTCGGCAGTGTGGTTGTTTTACATCCGTTAGCATTTGAACCAGCTAGCCGTATGCTAACGCTGGCAGACGGTATCTTCTCGCCCACCCGAGCTAATATTATTCATTATATTAATCCCAGAATACACCAGCCCACTCGCTCATACTTACATTAGCGCGTTTCGCTGCTTGCATAGCCATGGTGAAATGTTTAGAGTGGAAATAAGACCGCTGAACAACAAACACGCAGTTTCTCCGCTCTTCACTGTTACCGTCAAAATGGCAGCTTTAGCTAGCTGCTGACGAACTTCCGGTTTCCGCCTGAGCGACAGGACACAAAGATGGCGCAGTGCTGCCCCCCGCAGGCTGACTGACCTTTATGTTCCTCCACTAAAGGAACTACAATCCTTTATTTTAGACAGACTATTAACTACTACTTTAATTAATTACTAACTACCACTGTTTTTTAAGCACTGTTTTGCATTACTGTCACATTTGCTGCTGCAGCTGTTGATACAAACACTACTTCCTCCATCTGTTGGGTTGTAGAGAACTGTCAAATATTTAAAGGACCTGATGTGTTTGGTCTTTGTTAGAATGCATATTTAATGATAAAGCTGACTGCGGTGCCGTTGTAGGGTTTTTAATGTGCAAACAGGACACAGACAGATACTTCAGGGTCAAAATCTGCAACTACAAACATTCAAATATTCATCAACTCCAGCCCAAATGCAGCTGCAGCGTGCTCACTGCTCATCCCTATGCAAAACAAACTCATTCATTTATAATGAATCAGACAAAAGAGCAACATAAAGGCCACAGTGTGTGTGTATACCTGTGACAGTGTCTTGATAATGGTGCTGATGACGGACATTAAGACGATGCACACAAACACTCAACACGCAACTGTCACATTGTTCCTTTAATGTGCAGTCAACGAGACAGGAGGAGTTCTCCAACCTGTCTCTGGATCTGGTTCCTGGAGGATCTGTGGAAGAGATGCTCCAGGACTATGTGAAGGAGACAGAGTTGGAGTTTAGGTCTGAGTGCGGCGGCAACACATCGGGCCAGAGGTCTGTCTTCGTGACCCTGCCAAGGTGAGTGACATCACATCCATCTTAAATGAACACCTGACCTGAGTGGTTCCCTAACTGGCCTCCACTATCCCTAAGAGCTCCTTGAAATTCACAATACTCTGTCAGACACAGAAAACAGATATAACACAGTGATCATATTGCTAACATCTCTCCTTAACGTCTACAGAGTGCTCGTCTTGCACCTGAAGTGCTTCCGCTTCACGCCTGCATTTCAGCAGAGGAAGGTACACGGCCCCGTCAGGCTGCTGAGGGACATGGTGGTGTCCTCCAACCAGGTACAGAAAAAATAAACTCACCTGAGAACAGACAGAAGCACCAGGCTGATGAGAAAGTAAACGTGTGTGTGTGTGTGAAGCTAACTCTTATTCTGTGTTCATTGTCAGGACGGTGGCTGCTACAGTCTGGTGAGCGCCATCAGCCATTTTGGCTCCACAGGAGAAGCAGGTAAGATAATCACACACTGAAGGCTGAATGGGACCTTCTGTAGTCCTCTATCATGAGCTCAGACATGTTATAGATGGATAGTGGGAGTGGCTTTCACTGCTAAACATAACTACTTACAATAAGTCTCCGTATTTTAACTGAACTGGAACTTTAAACTTTATTGCACAAAAACCAGTGTCAATTCTGTATAAATGTGCCTGTGGATGTTCAGATAACATACAGCCTGTCTCTCTACAGGACCTGCTGTCTGTCTTTTCAGAAACAGAGACAAAACATAAGACAATTGTGTTTTTTCCCACAATATGTTTTATTGTCGTTTTCTTGTTTTGAACATCCCATCAACAATACATACTAACAATACAACAGTTTGACATTACAAATACATACATTACACAGGGTATATTCCAAACACACACAGTTTGGTATGAAACATCTCTGACAAACATTTTATAACATCCTTCCAGAAAGTTTGGATCTTTGGACATTCCCATAGACAATGACATAGAGTACCTTTCTGATTTAAAAATTTTCAACAATCATCTTGAATATTAGCAGACATATGATGAAGTTTGACAGGAGTTATATACATCCTCATGCCCCAACTTGATCTACAGTCTTTCATCCTAAGTAGTGGATAGGAATCCGGTTTTGTAACTGGATCAATAGTTCAAATGGCTGTCTTACTGCTGGAATGGGTTGCAGCGGCGCAGGTATAATAGTTTGATTTGGTTTTCCTGTGCATTGGCAAATGTGGCAGGTCTTAATGTACGTGGACATTTTTAATCATGGCCAAAAGAAATGCCGCAGGATATAATTGTACGTTTTTTTCACTCCCATATTACCAGTCATACTGTCATGGGCACACTGTCCACAAGTACACACTGTCTATACTTGGTAGGCAAAACCACCTGCTCCACAAACCCACAAGCCAAACTTTCCTCATAAGGGACCCACCTCCTCATTAACAGACCATCCTGTAGGAAATATACTGGAGACCGTTTCTCCACCTCAGACACAGGCACCACGCAGTCATACAGTAACCTTAAAGAGAGATCTGATTTTTGTGGCTCCACCAGCTCTGCATGGGACACAGACAAAAGACAAGTTTGACATGGCCTTTTTGGGACTCGTCACGTCACCAACAGACGCAGTCATATACTGTACATGCTCCAGCTACATCATTGCCTAGAATAGTCATTCTAGGCAATGATGTAGCTGGAGCATCAACACCCTCAACAGGCAATCCTTGGCAGACCCCAACCTTCACATCTCCCTGGACTATTTTGGAGGACAAAAACATCTTATGCACATGAACAACAATTGTCGTTAACCCCATTCCTCGGACAGGAACACAACTTCCTGTGTCTTCCTTGAATATTCAAGGCACCAGAATCTCGCCGTATTTTAACAGGAATTTTCTCATCACTGTCTACAAGGGACACAAGTGAATGGTGCATAACCTGCCACAATCTCTGCTGCACCCAAAATCTTAGCTTGCATCTGAAAAGGAGACATCGGTCCAGCACAGTCGCATATATGCGCACACACACACACACACACACACCACACACACACACAGACATTAGTACATCCTGCCATCATTTATCATAGAATTTTATAGAAGAATTTCACATTTACTGCATGAATTTTCTTCATATTCTTGCTTCGAAACTGTAAAATAACATCCTACCAAATGTTCAGATTATGCAAATACTAGATTTATACTACCCTCTTCTGAATTATACATTATTATATACATTATTGCTTAAGCTAACTCATTATGCATCATGACCAATCATAGCCCAAAGGTGTGTGTGCTCACCTGTGTTCCTGCACTGCAGTCATCTACTCTTAACCAACTTGAGAAACCTCCTGAGCTGTTAAAGATCATTTCTACATTTATTTGATGTGCTTTAGTTATTTTGGATTATTTAACTTTAATTTGTTTTGGGGTTGTTTTCTTGATGTGGTTGCTGAACCACAGTGGTTCAGACCATCAACGTTCTAAGCTGAGATTCCGGCGGGCACGGCATGAACTACAGCAAGCCTTGTGTGACGAGTCGACGTGTGTGCAAAGTGACTGAAAACAGCAATGACAGCTCCCATATCGGTTAGTGTAGATGCCCTGACAGCAGTGGTCGATGTTCAATGTGTGTTGCATGGAACAATTGTTATCTCAGAGTCAGACTGCTAGTGGGCCAGCAAGGGTATTTTATAATGTTATATTGTATACTAAGCAGAACTGGATAAACCAAGAATGTAATAGACAATGTTGCTCCAGTAAAATTGATATGGTGGACTATAGAGGATATGGTGTTTGAATCCTTCAGAGCCTCCCCAGGGTGAATAGAAGAACCTGTGTTGTTGTATGTAATTAACAGCCTGTAAAATAAAGGGTTACCCCAAATGTATACTTTTGCAGACTTACTGGTATTAGTGAATCCATTGGAAATGTTAACTGAAGAGCCTTCCACAGCACAGATTCTTCTGCTTCTTCTGGGTTCATCACAATGACAGGAGCCATTTAACATTATCACACTGTTTCACTTTCACTATCATCTTTAGCTGCAGGTCTGGGTTGATGGGGAGTAAAGTAAGACTTAAGCAGCACCATAACGCAAATATTTTAGCCCACGATCCAAGTCATTTAATATTGAGTCCCAGTCCCCATCTAATATTCTTTTTACATAATACGGTTGCACAGTGCACACTTCAAGTACATTAACATCAATCCAATGTCAAGAAAAAATGCCCGCATTGAAGCTGTTCCTTAATGGTTTTTTTTATCGTTTTTTTTTTACACAATAAAGAGTAAAATAAAAAACCCTCTGTAATCTTGTCGCTGTCTGGAGGGAGTTTCTCTCTCTAGTGTTTGTTGCTTCGGTGCAGCCTTTCTCAGGACACTTTTCAAATAGAGCAGGTCTGGACTGTACTCCTTATAACTTTATTTACAGAGACCCAACAGTTCCCACCTTGAGCAAGCACTTGGCAACGGCGGCAAGGAAAAACTTCCTTTTAAGAGGCAGAACCCTCGGACAGACCCCGATTCTAGTTGGGCTGTCGTCTGCCTTGAATAAATTACTCTTATTGGCTTTTTGTCTGAGGCCTTCCTCCTTGGAACTGCCAATCATTATTTAAAATGTCCTCTTTTAAATCTCCTCCACACATCAACCTTGGACACTGAAGTCTCATTAGAACCAGATGCAGGTCAATTGTATATTAATGAAATCCAATCTTTACAATTGCAGTTAGTAGTAATAATTTCTTCTAAGGATGAGAGTGCAGGAATTACAACTGGTAATGTTATATCGGTCAGATATTTTACTGAACCATTTCTTTGCCCCGCTGGAATCCAGCATCCAGCTTTCCTGGTTTAAATGAAACATTACCCCAAGTTAGACTAAACTGTGACAAGAAGTTACTTATATTCATATATTGTTTACCTCATATCACAGCAGCAACCATATTGAGCACTATGGGCGGGCAGTATGTGTTCTTAGATCTTTGGCTGAATACTGATAGAAATGTAATGGTATGGGGGCAGAGCACGACTCTATATCCACCCATGATGGAGTATCTTCAGCAGAAAACTGTAACATTGTAGTTCTTATTGTGCTGCTAAATAGTACCAATAAAAATGCAGACACTTCAACCCCCCTGTATCAAATGGAAGAAATAACAGAGACAGACGAACCCTAGGACACTTCTTATTCCCCATACATTTTGTAATGAGTGATGTAATTCTCGCAAACATTCCTACAGGTCACGCCAAATGAT